ATATCGAAAAAGCGCAGATGGTGGTACATGGTTTTTGTTCATTTAAGCGATTAACTTTTGTTCCCATGTGACTTCCTCCAACATATGTTAAATTTGTTATTTCTTACCATTGTCTTTATCAGAGTTAAACTTTGTGAAAACCTGAAAAATAGTTAACAATTGTGAATAAAGTTATATTTCTGTTTAGAACAGTTGCTCAACAGGTTTCTTCATCATGCAATGTGAAGAAAGTGAAATTCTATTAGGCGCAGCTCCAAGTTAGCTTTCTTAATGTGACAAAAACTTACAATATGCCTAAAGGTGACACTATCTATCTAATTTTGTTACCAGATTGTTATTGCATTTACTTATCGGAAAAAGGGGAAGCTCCTAAATTGCAAATATCGGGACGTCATGAAGATATTTTGGCAGGTTTTATTAACTAATTTTTAATTAGATCCATGGAATGATTAAATGATGACTTAGAGTTCTACTACAAGTGCCTATTTGACAGTTGAATTTTAACATGAGATTACTAATTCCTCTTGGAGATCTCATTTGCTGTGAAGCCACATTATTGTAAAATTTACCTTTGACTGGTGCCAAATATATATGTAAACCATAAATTGGTTATTAATAAACCTGGTCAGTGGGATTTTCATGTACATAAAACTGAGTGAAGGTATAATATGTTGTTCAGTGAGTGTGCAGCCTTCATAACATTGAGTTTAAATTTGACTGCATGGAGATGGAGTAATTTTCATTTATCCATTCGACAGTTCCTTTTTCTGATTCTCATATTAATTCTTATGCTCTGAATGCTTATAGCGTGTGAACTCCACTAACCATTATTTAGATCAATTTTGTACTGATCTTCTATTTCAGGAAAAGGATACTGAAAAGGTATTTTATGGTTTGGATGATATAGAGGGAGAAAGTGATATCATCATTGTATGTCTTCCTCTCTGTTTTCTAAGAGTTTCTGCTAACTGTTAATCTGACCTCCGTACTTACAAATGTTGAACTCTTGGTTATAGGTTGAAGGTGAAATGGACAAGCTTTCAATGGAGGAAGCTGGCTTTCGTAATTGTGTCAGTGTTACTGATGGAGCACCTGCTCAGGTTTCCACAAAAGATTTGCCACCTGAAGACAAGGTTTGGCTGACTTGAAAATGTTGAGTCATGTCACTTTCATTATCTCATAAGTAATTGTTTTCATGGCTTGCTCACTTCTCTTGACAAGATCTTATAAAATGTAACAACTAAAGAAATGTCAACTAGGATCTTATAAACTGTAAACTTTAATTTACTAAGTTTGTAAATGAGCCATACATTTTTGTCTTTTATGGCTAAAACTTGCTATTTGCAACATTTTTCGGTGGTATGATCTGACGGACACTTCCCTGATGAAAATTTGGTGTGTTACACTTGAAACTCAATGCTTGTGCCTACCCCTGCCCAACATATGTATGGACAGTTGTGGCAAAACGCATCACCATTTTTTAAGTATATAGTAACATTTTGAGGGTTCACAATTTTTTTTTATGAAACCTAAACATTTCAAGCTTGATGATTTACTTACCCTTTGTTGTTTTCTACAAGCAAACAAGTATATCATCATAAATCAGTATTTAGATTTGATGTCATGAATGCACAAATGTGAGCATGTAAAACTGTTTGCATGTCTCTAATTTTTCAGAGTTTCATGTTTGACACCAGTGTTACGTCCAGATGCTATACTCATGTCCTTGTTTGTAGATAATAGGTTTATCTAATACATGGTCTGATTGTAACCTTTTCCCCTTAAGTGGTGGTTGCTTTATTTAAGCTTCACTTTGCTGAATTTGATCTTTTGTGATTGAGAAGGTCATACACATGGTATTTCTGAAGGCAAAAAAGTGGAGCACAAATAGAGATTCTCTCTCATCATTTGAGAAGATGTGTTTTCTGTGCACTTGCTAAAAATTCTGGATCTAATGCACTTTCTGTGTATTTTGTGAAGCTAGGACATTATGTATCTGTATCTTATGCATAATTTTTAAAATTTTCATATCAAACTTGGCATTTCGACAATGACTTTTTTGTCCATGTTTGGAAACATAGGATACTGGATATCAGTATATATGGAATTACAAAGAGCACTTGGATAAGGTAAACTTATTACATATGCATGCTTGACCCAATATGGAAATTTTTATTGGTTTTCCTCTCTTCATTGCTTGATCTTATTTCTTAAAAGCATAAATGAATCTTGAGGTTTCTTTCATTATCCTGGTAATTGATGGTGATATACCCAGTCAAGCCTTGGCTGAAGAGCTAGCACGCCATCTTGGAAAGCAGAGGTTTCAATTATAAATTAATTCCTTTCATGTGCTTCAGAAACTTGGGACTCTAATCAGTGATTAAGACCAAAATTTGATGAAGCCTGCTTATCAGTAGTCCAAAGTTTATAGCTTTTGCTTTAATTGGTGGTATCTAGGATTGTAAAGATAGCACTGAATTATCAAATTGGTGGTGCAAAATCTTGACGCAGTGAAACCTTAATGTAGGCAATATCTTTTGTAGTAACACTATAAACAGAAATTTTACTACAATAGTATACCTCGTCTACTGATAATCATCATGTTTGAGGTTTATAGTCTGAATTCTGTTTATATATTCCCCCAAAAGTAGTTTCCAAATACTTACAATTATCTCTTTATGTACTTTGTCGGTTTTCAGATGCTGGCGTGTCCAATGGCATAAGAAAGATGAGTTCTGTTGCTTCAATGATGCAAATGAGGTTTGATTCTTGTTTCCTCATTTCCTTTTCTGTTTTTCTTTCGAAGCAAGCAATAATGAAGTAGTTTGACCATATTTGGTTATGTCTACTAATCAACATCTTTGCCATCATCTAGCTTTTGTTCTGTACTTTCTCCAACTGGTATATAGAATTGATGATAGTTAAAAAATGACATTGCTTTCTCTCATTTATTATATATTCATCCATGAATTGTAATGTCCTCATTGTTTCACGGGCTTGGAATAAGAGGACTGGGATTAAAATAGCTGGAAAAAATTTAATAGTAACGTTTTTATTTTATTTTCTGTCAAAATCTGTAAAAGTTTTGTTTCTAAGGATGATCTGCAGGTGTTCTTACTACGGTGTTTGGTTTGTGGCCATAGGTTCTCATGTTTCTGGGTCGAGGTGCTCTGAAGGAAGTAATAGAAAATGTGGAGTTGCATCAGCTACAAGTTCCAGACCAAGCAAAAATGCAGTGTACATAAAGCTCATATGAAACACATTCAAAGAATTACAGGGTTTTGTTTCTTTCATTTCTCTTTTAAACATAGTATCCATTGTTGAAAGATCTTGGCAAAGCTTAAGGGCTGGCTGTGCCCAATTCATTGCAAAAAGACTACAAAACCTAAAATGATATTTGAAATTGTTAGGAGATCACATTGGAAACGATTGGAGGGATTAAGTGGTTTATAAGGAGTTGGACACCTTTGTTTGGTAAACCGGCTTTTCAAGATGAGTTTTACTCAACCATCTAGGCCCTCGACTCAAGGTTTAGGCACATTCTTATCAGAAATCAGCATAAGTTTACTGATAATGCTTTTATTGTTCATGCTTTTTCAGTTCAAATTCATGGTAAAGATATGCAGCAAATTACTACTAATGGATTTCATAACTTTTTTCCTTGGAATTTTTCATGGTAATTTGTAGCACAGATACTTCATCAAAAACCTGAAATCATGCATATTGAATCACGTTTTCTACTGCAAAATATAGCATTGAGAATTCACCGGATTAGTATCGTCGGAGATAAATATTTTAGACAGATTTAAAAACAATGAATAAGTTGATTGATTGTGTTAACGGTTTAATAACAATAATTCCACGCGGTGTAACTAAATAACAAAAATCCCTCTATGGTCTATAGGGATTTTGAAGTTCATAGTAATTATAAAATTATAGAATTCTCTTTGCCCTTAAGCTTATGGGGTCAAAATAAAAAGTGAAGGATAATTAGGTAAATATTTATTAACCTTTTATGTTAAAAGTTCAAGTGACATAATAACTGTGGGAGGATATATGTAATTTTTGAAATTTCAGGAGAAATTTTATTACTTGATTCAACCTTCAAGGGGTTAAGAAACCCCTTTTATTTAAGATTCAACCAATAAAAACATAATATGTATATATTTTATGTTTTTATCGGTTTTTTTGTTCCCCTTGCAATTTTGTACTAACAAATATTTTCATTTAAGAAAAAAATTGTTTTAAAAAAAAAAAGAGAAAATACAAAAAAAAAAAAAAGGAAGAGAATAAATAATTTTTTAATCAAAATTCTAAATTTTCATATAAAATGTGGGGCTCATGTTTTTCTCTTCTAACAAGCTTTTCATCTGTTCTCTCGTCTAAAATTTAAAAAAAGGGTAGCCGAGCAAATTTTTCACCATTTATTAGGCAAAGAAATGAAAACAGAATGCAAAATTTGTAAATGAAAGCAATTTAGACCCTACTTAGTAAATTTGTCTATAAACTCAAATTTACATATTTTATTAAGGTTGTTGTATAATACACGAATTATATGTCCAATCCGTATAATTCGTGAATTATATACGTATTATTGCCTAATTATTGCAGGCAAAAAAAAAAAAAAAAANTGGGTGGGGTATGACTAAAAAAGATTTTCTTTTCTCCTTCTCTTTTGGTTTTCCTTAGTTTTCTTCCACAGTTCTTCAAATCTTTAACAGTTCTTCATCGCTTTAACTCTCTTTTCTTCATCTCTTGAGTCTTGATCTCTTCTTCTCTTCTCTTTTTAACTCTCTTCTCAAAGGTCCAAGCTTCAAGTCCAAGACTTCAACTCTTCAAGCCTCACGGTCACGATACACATTTCTATACAAGTTTTAACATAATATTCCATTTAGTTTTGTTGTTTTGTATTGTATGGTTATAACAGTTTTTGTTTATACAAGTTTTAAACTTTTAATTTATAAAACTTTAAGTGTTAGCTTTTTAGAAATAGTTAGGCTATGTATATGGTATACCCATTACCCAATAATATGTAACAAGAAACAATGAAAATAATGAAATTCTATATTGATTTTAACCATGTGGTCTATAGAAAGTGTTAAAATTAGGATTGATATTACCATATTTTTCAAACCATATTATTGATAATGTGTTGTATTAAACCCGTATATACTAGGGTGTTCGGTTCCGGGTACCCTGTACTGTTTGAAGGAACCGAAACCGACGGTTCCGGTTCCTAAGTACCCAGAACTAGAACCTGTAACAATGGTTCCGGTTCTGGTTCTGGGTACCCTGTAAAATTACATGACCCCCCAAAATTTTTAAAAAGCGGCAAAAAAACCCTTAAAAACTTACAAATACCCTCCCACCTGGCACTTGTTAACAAAAATAAAATTACAAATTACAAACTCCATTACTTTGTAAATGTAGATTCTCAAAAGTCAAACCAACTTACTTTAAATGTTATGAAATATAAATATAAATGTATTCACATTAATTTTTCTACAAAAAGTTTCTATTAACCCCCCTAATCTTTAATTTTATTTTATACTAGTCTCGGTTCCTGGTTCCTGGTTCCAGTTCCGGACTATAGGAACCAAAACTGCGCAGTAATGGTTCCAAAAATTTGGAATCGGAACCTACCCATTGACAACTAGTTCTGGGTAGGAACCAGAACCAAACTCAGGGTACCTGTCGGTTCCGGTTCCGGTTCCAACCGGTTCTTTTGAACACCCTTAGTATACACTAATACCGTATTTTTTTCGCATATAAATTTTATGACCAAATTTTTACAAACGTATTTTTCACCATTTGCTGTATCATATCGTAGAATTCCTATACTTTTTTTTTACCATACCTGTATTTACTAACTAGGATTTCGACGCAGAACCATTTCCATTGATTAAAAATTTTTATATATGAATTATTAGGACACTACTCTGTTAACATTATCTGTCCAAATATATATTATATTATATTAGGAATTTATTTAAGATTTTATTTCATTTATATGTAACTACCAATAAGATAATTACAAAACTAAACCCATAAAATAAGGAAATACTTAATCTTGGAGTAGGCGCTAAGAAATTAATTAAATAATTACATAAATTAATACATATTAATCTTGGAAGCATAATTTTGTGTTATGTATCTGGAATCTTTTGAAATTGTGACCTCTAGTCTTTAACTCTTTGTACACTATGAGTGAAATATAAATGTTTGCTCTGGATTATGTAAAATTTGCGGGAGAACGACTTACACGTACCCAAGGTTTGTCGTAACGATAAGTTGGTACCCAAAAGGTTTTGAAACGACAAATAGGTACCTTCCGTTATGTTCGGTTAGTGATTTCTGTTTATTAATAGTGAAAAGACTAAAATGCCCTTAAAAGTTTGAATTTTAGTTTTTTATAAATTGAAAATTTTCTAAAAAACCCCATAGGTTTACAAATTTAACTAAATACCCCAATATATAAAAATTTTGTAAAATAACAAAAACACCCCTGCCACCCGCAGTGCCAGATTCCGGCCACCACCGCCAGAATCTGGCCGGAAAGTTGTGTTACGACACAGACCCGTCGGATCTGTGTCGTAACGCGTCGATCTGGCCTTTTCTGGCCAGATCCGTGGCTGATCTGGCCAGAAAAGGCCAGATCTGGCTGCTGCTTCGACGGCCAGATCTTGCCTTTTCCGGCCAGATCCGTGGCGGATCTGACCGGAAAGGGCCAGATCGGCACCTTACGACACAGATCCGAAGGCCAGATTCCGACGATGGTGGCTGGAATCTGGCACTGGGGGTGGTGGGGGTGTTTTTGTCATTTAACAAACTTTTTATATATAGGGGTGTTTAATTAAATTAGCAAATCTAGGGGGTTTTTTAGAAATTTTTAAATTTATAAAAAACTAAAATTGAAACTTTAAAGGGCATTTTAGTCTTTTTACTATTAATAAACAGAAATCACTAACAGAATATGACAGAAGGTACCTATTTGTCGTTTCAAAACCTTTTAGGTACCAACTTATTGTTACGGTAAACCGGTGTGCACAAGTCATTCGGCCAAAATTTGCTGCTAGCGTTGTTTGCTTTTATTTTTGTTGTGACATTGTGCTCCATATTTCTCGGGGCCTTGTTTTTTCACTAATAGGCTAGAGGGAAGATGTGAAGAACTCAAATAGCCACAAACTTGATCTTTGAAACTTATGACCTCTAGTCTCTAGTGACATTGCTGTTAGCTTTAGTTCGCATTTTCTGTTGTAGAGAGACCATTTTCGGATTTTTATTTTATTATTATTATTATTATTATTTTGGTTGCTTATATTGAAGGAAGGACCACTCCTTAAAAAAATATTTAAATGTAGAACAGAAAAGGCCACCCACTGTATTTTCTTGTGTATTTTTTATTTCTTAGATCATTAACAGATTTGGTTGATTGGCAGAGAATTGAATCAGTTTTATTGATTTTATGATAGATTACTCATTTTTTATTTTACTTCATTTAACTGCATTTTTTTTTTATGTGACAGATTTATTTTTGCTTGAGAACTGGATACTATGATGAAGCAAGAAATGTTGCCTTATCATCCCGTCCTTCAAATCAGTTTGCTCCTGTGGTACTGATTGTTCATTCCGTCAGTACATAATACCTTATAATCACTCCTTAATTGTTACTTCATTTTTGACAGCTTACAGAGTGGATTAACACTGGAGGTATGGTGCCTCCAGAGATTGCAGCTGCTGCTTCAGAAGAATGTGAAAAAATGTTCAGAATGGGTGATCGTGTGGGTCGACCTGCATATGACAAGAAAAAGTTGTTACTCTATGCTATCATATCTGGTTGTCGCAGGCAAATTGATCGCCTGCTTAGAGATATACCAACTCTATTCAATACTATAGAGGATTTCTTGTGGTTCAAATTGTCGGCTGTACGGGATGTACCCAGTGGAGCCTCATCTGTTATATTGAATGAGGGTCTGGCACCATACAGTTTGGATGATCTGCAGGCTTACCTAAATAAATTTGACCCTTCGTATTATACAAAGAATGGAAAGGACCCTCTTGTGTACCCATATGTTTTGCTCTTAAGTATTCAGTTGTTACCAGCTATCCTATACTTGTCAAAGGAAGCAGGAGATGAAGGATACAACATTGATGCTGTCCACATGTCAATTGTTCTGGCAGACCATGGGGTCCTTTATGAAGGTGCTGATGCTGGACAAAAACTGGGGTTAATGGATGCTTATGCAGAGGCATTCAGCATGATTAGGCAGTATGGGTCTGCATATCTACGTCTTGGTAATCTCCAGATTGCTTTAGAGTATTATGCACAAGCTGCTGCTGCAGTTGGTGGGGGACAGTTGTCATGGACTGGGAGAGCTAATGCCGATCAGCAAAGGCAGAAAAGCTTAATGCTAAAGCAACTTCTTACTGAGCTATTATTACGAGATGGTGGATTCTATCTTTTACTTGGTTCAAGAGGTGCTGGAGAGGAAGGTGAATTGAAACGATTTTTAACTGATTTCAAAGCAAGACAACAGTTTCTACTTGAAGCTGCTCGCCAGTGTCAGGAAGCTGGGCTGTATGACAAAGTAATTTTTCTACCCTTGCACTTTGATGTCTTTATTTTTGGATTGCATCTGAAATATTAAATAAGCATAATGAAGGATGAGTATCAACCAATTACTGGCAAGTCATATAGGTTAATAACTCTGACATTGTCTTTGATATTTGTGGTCATGTACTTCTAGCTCACACATTTTGTAGTCTCTCATTGTTTTATATGTTCTTTGGCCCTTTTTCAATTGTATCAAGTGTCTTGTTTACCTTTCTGGTAAATGTATGTTTTACTTAGTTTATGGGTTTGCTCCAACTACTTGTTTCCTCTAAATTTAGTTTTTTGTTTGACATTTTGGTGTTGCTTTTGTTTCTGACCGTTCATTTTATTACCAAAATTCAGTCAATAGAAATTCAGAAGAGAGTTGGGGCGTTTTCAATGGCACTGGATACAATTAATAAGTGTCTTTCTGAAGCAATTTGCGCCCTGTCACGTGGTAGATTGGATGGTGAGAGTCAGACTTCTAGCCTCATTCATTCTGGCAATGAGATTTTGGAGATGGACAAATATTATCCTGAAGTCAGGTTATTTACTACCTTCAATTTCCTTATATCAGTTTTAGCCAACTTTTTGTAGCAGTGGATACCTGATCCACTATCAAATTTATTTTTTTTCACGCATACATACGATAAGTTTCCTATAAAATAATAATAGTTACTACCTCCGTGTTTTCTAGTATTACAATCAGAGGCCTGTGATTTCGAAAATTATTCACAATCCAGCCCGGATGCAGATGACGTTTAAAATCCCTTATCATCTAAGGGGCAATTCTGTCTTTTGAAAGTTAAAATGACTGATTATCCTGAGACAAAAATTAGGTCCTGTATAATTTAGGAATATTACTGTCTTTTCAATATTAAAAATTAAATAAGATTATTCCTTTTTTGTTCTTTTCTTTTTTTATATTTCTTCTTGCTCACCCCTTTCTCTTCTCCACTTCCATACCCTTATTTTAAGTGTTCCCTTCAATCTTCTTAAGCCAAATAAATACCTTATTCATCCTTGATTCCAATAAATTAATACACAATAAGTTTTTTTTTTTTTTTTTTCATCCATTATAAATAGTTAAATACTAAAAAATATTAAATAAAAAAATGTGGAACATATCAGCTTAAACATGTTCCATATCTATTGTGTGGATATGTGTACAGTCTTAAGTTTGATTTCTCATCATTTAATTGTAATGTTGCGATTTTTAAAATGGATTGTGTCTGAGTAATTTTTCCAATAATTTAATAGTGAAGGAATGTTGAGAAGTTTATGATAGTATAGAATAAGATACTATATGAATTAATTGAAGAATTTATGTTTATGTGTGATATTTGTTTAAAAACTATAATACTGAATTAAATAAGAGAGAAAATAACGTATATATGTAACATATAAATTGATCATGATTTTTCAATTAATTGCAAGTATAACATTTTATTCCAAAGTTTTTGGGATCCTCACTTAAACTTTTAATTATTACATGTTCTATTTTGCATATAATGTTTCATAAAATCTTTGAATTTTGTCATAATAGATTAACATAATTTAGACATGGAACCATTTCCATTGATTAAAAAATTTTATATATGAATTATTAGGACACTACTCTATTAACATTATTTGTCCAGATATATATTATATTATATTAGGAATTTATTTAAGATTTTATTTCATTTATATTTAACTACCAATAAGATAATTACAAAACTAAACACATAAAATTAGGAAACATATTCATCGTGGAGTAGCCGCCAAGAAATTAATTAAATAATTACATAAATTAATACATATTAATGTCTAAATTATGGCAATAATCAAACTAAAATTGACACGAAACAAAAACACTAATATTCCATTTCTTGGAAAAGAAAATGGTTAGTCTCTAATACCTACAATACAAGTCAAGGGTTAATTAACTACCATCTAGGTCAAAATCTACAACAGAATAAAATAAATATGGTCATTAATAATAATAATAATAATCAGCCATTATTTGTTTCCAGCAGCTCATCAATGCTCTCAAAAATGGCTGATTTTGATTGAATTTCAGGATCATCTTTTAGGGTTTGCAGAATTTCTCTTCGAACCAAACACTTCTCTTCTGAGTACAATTTTTCTTGAATTATTGGAGATTCAAGAAGAGTTTGAAGTTCTTGAGATGGAAGTAATTCTTCTCTTTCCTGCATGCAAAAATATTGAAAGTTTTTAGAATTTTTTTCATAGCAAAACTTTTCCTCTTGAATTTATTTTTGTCATGGAATTCGATATTTGTTTGTGGACTCAAGGATACGTTTATAAGTCACACCTCCTAAACTAAAAGACATCTAATATATTTAATCTGATTGCCGTTATGTCTAAGTTACATGGTATGTTATGGCATTATTATTTGTATGTGTTATGTTATTTATGTTAATACTAATTATCATTCTGTACTGGCCACTTGAACGCCCAATGGAGGGATGGACAGGTAAAAGCCTATATAATGTTGTTGTGTCCCATGATTATCCCGAAGTAGTAAAAACCTATTAAGTAATAAGCGGGGATTCAAATGTTGTGCCATTACTAAGGTCATTGGATGTGTTTAACCCTATCAATCTTCTCTTGTATCTTAGATTTAAAAAGATCTTGTGAAAAGCTGCAACAAAATCTAATTCCTTCTTTTGTAGATGGAAATAGCATCCAACTTAATTCCTGGAATAATAAAAGACTTATTTGTGTGGAAAAGATTTTGTGAACAAAGACCTTTCCATCCTTGAAATGAGACTTTAGTGTGTGAAAAGACTTTAGGAACCTTGAGGCAAATGGTTTATCCTTCATTAATTTACTTGACGTTCTTTCAATTATGAGTTCAATTTAAGGAGAAAGAGATTTTTCTTTTCGTACGTAAAATATTTTCAAATTAAAACAGAGCAGGAGACAATTAAAAAGCACAAATTTTTAAGGTCCCGTTCGTTTACAAATTTTATGTTTTATTTTTTCCTAGAAAATTGCACAAAAAATGCTTCCATTAGAGATAGCCAAAGATATGACCATCGTTGATGGTTAACGACGGCCATTTCTTTGGCTGTCGCTGACGACCACATCTAGCTTTTTTTGGCCTAATCCACCATGGATCTGGTTAGAAAAGGTCAGATTGTTGAATTAACGGCCAATTCGATTGTTTTTAGGTTGTTGTGATAGATTTCGGCCACCACCGACGGTGGTTGCTGGAATTTGGCAATATAGGTGGGTGGGAGTTTTTTTGTTAATTTTTAAACCTTTTTTAGGGGTTGTTATTTAAATTAGTAAATTTAAAGGGTTTAAAAATAATTAATAAAATATAATATTATTTCCCCAAATAATAAAACAAACAGTTTATTTTGAAAATAGGAAAAATACTAAGATTGGGAATAGGTATGAAATAATAAAACCAGTTTTTATTCTATTTCACGACTGAACAGATTTGTACACGAGGATTTTGCTGCTTGTGGTCTTATCTACGAGACATCTCCAGCTATAGAAAGCTTGAGATGGAACTGTGACTAACACTGATTGTCTTGAAAAACAACACACCGTTCCCTTCTTTGTCTTCCGCCTTCCCTTAGCTTTCATGTGAGGCTAAGCCATGGGCTGTTGCCTAACCCTTTCATTCATTCACATCACTCGTTTTTCAACACTTACCAACATTTTCTTGAAAAAAAGTGTGTTTTCCTTCAAATATCTTTGAAAAATCAGAAAAACAAAAGACACCAAAATTCTAAAACAACAAACCGTCACTCCTTTCTTTGTCTCACGAGTTCAGTTTTGAGCTTCCATGCCAGATGAGCATGTCTAAAGTTCTAAAACGTTTTGAAAACCCACCAACACCCTCAATTAGTTCACACATTTGTTCAAACACTAAGAATGCTTTTTCTTCTTCAACAAGACTCTCATTCTTCATGTCTCTCGCTGAACCTTGAGAGCACCGTTCTTACACTCGTCTTTCTTCGTAATACGCCTCTTACAATCCTCTTCACACCTTCTTCCTGCTTTGGCTTAAATCCATTGATAATAGTAGTATAATCATCATCCTTTGACTCTCAAACCCAAAACCAAACCATGACTTCTCCTTAGTCCCAGGTTTTGTTTGTTTACGTGCTTTTTGTATTAGTCTATTATTCATTTAAAGGGATTTGTAAATTAATATCTCGTTGAGGATAGAGAAGGAGTAATTTATAGGTTTGAGTACATTTAAAGAGTGTCTGTGAAACTGATGTTTGTGTTTGTTTTGTGGTTCTTTCTGAGGATATAGTAATGCGCGTTGTTTGCGGCCGTTTGCATGTTTTTGACGATTACTTGAAGAGCTGGGGATGGATATGTAGAAATGTGTCCTGGCTAGTATAGTTTGTCTTTGTCCCAGCTGTAAGTTGTGTTCCTGTGTTCAATTTTGCGAATCGGGTTTTGTTTTGTTCAATTTATGGGATCGGGTTTTGTTTGTTTCTCTTGTTTTTCTGAATGTCATGGTTTATGCACATGATATGGACATTTTTTTGAGGTTTTTGTAGATATGAATTAACTGCTGTGTAATGTAATAATTGTACTAGAAAAAACCAATTACAATTAAGAAACTCCAGATGACTAACCAATTTGAGTTGCTTTACTACAATTCGCGAGATGACTTACTGTGATGTGTTGGTGCCATGAAGCTCTGCCGGTAGACTTGAACTAATTCTTGATTTAATTGTCTGATGTAGATCTGCTTTCAGATCTTCATGTTTCATTCTTATCAATCTTATGGATTAACACATAATGTTGGTTTTGTTGTTTTCATTGTTCTTTGTATATTAGGGCAATGGTGGTGATTCAGGAGGAAAAAGCTTGTCTGTTTACATCACCCTGATGGGATGCTACTATAGTTTCCTCCTTTAATTTCTTCTTTTCTGTTCTTAACAGATCATCACTTACCTCTCTGTTATTTTATTTATTTATTTTTTGGCAATTTCTATGTGCTCGCTATGTGGTGTTGTGTTGTGCAAATGTGAATGGAAAGGCTGCCGAGTGTAAGATATTCTTTGTAACAGTTAGCGAAATGTTTGCAGTTATATGTTGGTGAGTATTTTTATTTGACTCTTAGATTGATGTTGCATCTACACTTGCAGGCCTTTGGAGACAGCACTTCATCACGTTCAAGATTGAACCACATTGCCCAAAGAAGACAATAAGAGAAGTCACAGAGGAGGGTCTAGACTAGAGCCACTATGTGACCAGGTGCTGGATTTTACCTTTTGTTTTGTGTGTGATCTTTGTTCTGTTTTGCAATTATTTTTTTGTTATGAGTTGTAAAAATTGTTTGATAGTGATGGAACTCCCTATAAAACAGAACCACAGCAATGCACACACAGCACACAACATAGGAAATGCACAAGTGAAGAAATGGAGGTTTATATAATGGAAGCTAAGATAGGAAAAACAGCACAACTACAAGAAAAAGAAAGATCAACAGATTCCAGCAATTCGAGGAGTGGGGACCTCCAAGACCACCAATGATTAATATATTCTAGATATCCTCCCTCCTCACTTCATCTCTTAATAGTCATTCTTTAAAAAACTGTCAGCCATGTGTCCTT